TGAACCACATGCAAGTCGAATCTCCGGCGGGTCATCACATAGCGGCATAGAGCATGTTTCCTGGGTTTCCTCAGTATTTATTCCTTCTGTATGGGCAGACGACGACAGGGAGGGTCGGTCCAAAGCAAGGGCGTTCAGCTGCTGCAGGATTTGGTCCACAACAGCTCGCCTTGATGGYGATAAGCGATCAGTACCCCGCTCTGAAGCTGGTTCATATAGAGGCCCATGTTCCTCCTCGGGCTGCTGTGTGTGTCGTGTGTGTGTGTGTGTGTGTGTGTGTGTGTGTGTGTGTGTGTGTGTGTGTGTGTGTGTGTGTGTTGTGCGCTATGGTGCATGCGTTCATTCACATGAGAGAGAGAGAGAGAGACAGAGAGAAAGAGAGTTTGATGGTGGATTAATGCTGCGAGGTCATGAGAGAAAGATGCATGCCCGTTATGAGGGCATATAGCAGAGAGGAGGGCGCAATGGGAACCGTCCAGAACGTTGTGCCCCCTGCTGACAAGGGCAGGCAGAAAAGTTTAGTGGCCCCAGGGGCACAACAGGGTAAGTTTACCATCAGAGGGGCGTGAGCACGGCACAACTTTTTCTCCTCTCAAATTCTCTCAAATTCACCTCTCACTATCTACCTACCACTACTATACAAGGGACCCCTGCAAGCATAGCTACCTCTCACAGTGAAGGGGATATTGCATGTTGCCCCTTGGCGTACGATCTTCCGCCCAACCACAACACAGCCTGATGATGGCTGTACCAAACCCGAAAGATAGATTGTACACAGTCACAAGATAGCTGGTATACATTCATTTTCACAATTTTTCAGGGTGTGCTATGTTCGGGGGAAGCCGGTAGTGACTCAGGGTGCAGGTTTGGGGCCGCCCATGGGGGCTCGGCTAACACAAAGACGGAGCATTTTGGGGCTGGTAGTGACGTAGGGTGTACCCACCTCATGTGGCGTACTATTCTTTCGCCTTTTACTAAAGAATGTCGTGGGGTGAGCACACTAAGCAGCTTACGCAAATCTTTTTCAGGTCCCTCGCCCCGATGGAAAAAAAAAGGGTGCAGGGTTGGGGCCGCCCGTGGGGGCCTGGCTAACACAAAGACAGAGCATTTTGGGGCCCCCCATAGTGACTTAGCTGTGTCCCCTTTTCATCTTCTCCCACCCCCAACTGAGTGACAGCAGTGTCCAAGGCCAACAATATCCCAGACACGACAAGCAACCCACTCACACCCCTACTCATACGGAACAGCTGGCTGTCACCAAGCCTGGCCCAGGCTTCTTTTTTTTCCTTGGGCATATATTGTACTCTGTATTAGGGCTCCGCCAGCTCAACTCATAGCCGATGGGAATGGGCAAGAGAAAAGGGACTCCGCCGCCACAGCAG